CCGCGCCCAGCCCCTTTTTTTTCTTAATGCCATTTTCACACATGGCCCGCGACGGGCAGCCGTGCCATGAGGTTAGACCCTGCTTGGCTCAGACAGAACTGGCGACTTGTTTGACCCATACCAAGTTATCCGACTAAGAATTTAGATGCTGGGGCCCCTAAAGAGGGGTCGATGGGGAGGCAAATATGGACCAATAAGAAAGCACTGGGCCGGGCGCGGTGACTCACGCCTGTAATCAGCACTTTGGGAGGCCAAGTGGGGAGGATCACTTGAGCTCAGGAGTTCGAGGCCAGCCTGGGCAGGACAACGAGACCCTGGCTCTACAAAAATAAATAAATAAGGAAGCAGTGAATTCCAATGTATTCATCGCCAACTAACCAGGTTGTTGGGTGTGCGCTCCTCTTTTAGGTGCAATGTGCAATGAGGTCGGAACTTTATTATTTGAATATTTGAAAATACCTGAATCCAAGAGGTCGAGCCACTTGGCCAAAAACGCCCAGGAGGAAAAGGCCAAGTCTAGTACCCCGGCTCTAGACCTACTAACTGATCGCCGGAGACCCCGGCCCTTGGAATAAGTCGCCTCCCCAGATCTCTAAGCCGGCCGCGCGACCCTCGAGTCTCAGGTAAGCGGGAAATCCCATCTCACAGGGAAGCCCCCGCTCCGAGGCACGGGCGCATGCGCGGGTCGGCCACCCGCTGGAGCCGCGGGTGCGCCGCTCTGGCCCGCGTGGCGCAGTCGTCCGCGTCTCGCTGATGATGACGCACGTCCGGGGCGGTGGGGAAGGCAAGATGGCGGCGCCCATGGAGGTGGCCGTGTGTACGGATTCGGCAGCCCCGATGTGGAGCTGCATCGTGTGGGAACTGCACTCGGGCGCCAACCTGCTCACCTACCGCGGCGGCCAGGCGGGACCCCACGGACTGGCGCTGCTCAATGGCGAGTATCTGCTGGCGGCGCAGCTGGGCAAGAACTACATCAGCGCCTGGGAGCTGCAGCGGAAGGTGCGGCGGTGCGGGCTCGCTGCTGGGCTTGGCTGCGGGGGTCACGGGGCGCCCGAGGCTACAGTCGGGGGATGGGTTGGCGGGGGCCGCGTGCACCCTGAGTCGGAATTGGCGTGGGGCGCGGGGTGGGGGGTCTCCGTTCCGGCGCTCTGCGCATGCGCGGGTCTGGGGGCTTTGGGGAGAGATGCGCGACCTGTTAGGCCGCTCTGCGCACGCGCGGGGCTCAGGCTTAGGCTGCGGTGGGGGCAGTGGGGGAATGGAGACGCTCCGGGGGTCCCTTGGGGCAATTGCGCATGCACGAGTTCTTGGCGCGCGAAATTTGATTAAAAGGGGACTATACGGATCGCGAGGTCAGGAAATCGAGGCCACCCTGGCTAACACGGTGAAACCCCGTCTGTACTAAAAATACAAAAAATTAGCCGGGCGTGGTGGCGGGCGCCTGTAGCCCCAGCTGCTCGGGAGACTGAGGCGGCAGAATGGCGTGAACCCGGGAGACAGAGCTTGCAGTGAGCCGAGATCGTACCACTGCACTCCAGCCTGGGCGACAGAGTGAGACTCCGTCTAAAAAAAAAAAAAAAAAAAAGGAGACTGTGAGCTCTGTGGATGTTGTGGTTCTGCAGGAAGAGGGAGAAGGACCGAGATCTGGGGGAGTCCCCCATGAAGGAGTGGCGCAGGAGACTCATGCGTTTATCCCTCCAATAAAGAAACAGATACTCACCGTCGCCCATCGTTTCCCCTCTACCCTCAAGCCCAAAATGCAGCCAGTCCCTGAAGCTACTCGCTTCCCCTGTGCGCACACTGAGATCTCTTGGGACTGGTTCTGTGCTCTGGCATTGCCTGATGGAGTCCACGCACAACTCATAAATTTTTCCCATTTTCTTTTATTTTTGAGACAGTCTCATTCTGTCACCCAGGCTGGAGTGCAGTGGTGCGATCTCGGCTCACTGCAGCCTCCGCCTCCAGGGTTCAAGCGATTCTCAGACCTCAGCCTCCTGAGTAGCTGGGACTACAGACCCGCACCAACCACCACACCTAGCTAGTTTTTGTATTTTTTATAGAGGCAGGGTTTCACCATGTTGGCCAGACTGGTCTGGAACTCCTAAACTCAAGTGATCCACCCACCTGAGCCTCCCAAAAATGCTGGGATTACAGACATGAGCCACCACGCCTGGCCGAGTTTTCCCATTTTAAAGAGGAGGAAGCTGAGGCTTGGGGTCTTAGGTTGAACATTATGGATAGAAGAATCGGTGCACAAGCCTACTGGGCTCTTGGACCCGTGTCCTTCTAGATCCTCTTTGTTTTGTTCCTGTGTTCCTCCCAGCCAGGGTCCCTCTGGCCCTCAGAGGAAGCACCAGCCTCCTCTTATCTACCACCTCCAGCCTCGAAGCCTCTTGCAGGGGCGTACACTTCCTCGCAGGACCATACATTTGCCCAAACCACCCTGCTCCCGACTCCTCTCCCTGGTGCTCTTAACCACTGCCCAGGTGTCCCCTCCCCTCGCCTTCC